GCAAGAGCGGCAATGACGAACAATAGCAATGAGGACAAGAAAAGCTATGTGTGTGGGGGGGGGAGGGGGCGGTGGCCGAGGGGGAAGGGTTAAGGGGGGGATGTTGGGGCAAGTGTTGCTTGCTCTCTGCGTAACTTTTACACCATGCGGAATCAAACTTTTATCAGTTTCGTGTGGGAGGGTTCAAACACGGGATTGGAAATTTTGCAACTAAGCTACGGTGAATGCATAGTACCATCACCGGTGGTTGGGTCCTATTACCATCCGGAGACCGTCGTATGATACGGTGATGAATACTAAGGCACACAATCTTAATGTTTGGCATTGAAACAAAGCGAAACTGTGCACTTAGAAAACTAAGAAAAGCACAATGCCAATACTCTCGGATTGAAACACAGCCTCTCGCGTGCTCAGATTGAAAGGAAGCCAACTTGAGTTCGATAGTGAATAATAAGGCACACAAATTTACATTGAAAGAAAGCCAAACTGTGCACTTAGAAAACATAAGGAAAGCACAATGCCAGTACTCTCGGATTGAAAGGAATCCAATTTGAGTTCCATACATTCATACCGAATAAGTAGGTGGATGCTACCAAGCTAACAAGCATGCCGAAATCTAAAATGCAGATACTAATTAGGCCGACACTATGCAAAATTTAAAAGGCCTTCATATGTACATCATTGGTTGTATAATTAATCATTCTCCATGCAGATCCTAGTCGACCTCCATGGGATCGTTGTGAATCTCCATAATATCCTGCAGATCATTGTCGACCTCCACGGGATAATTGTCAATCTCCATGTCATCCCGAGCCTTGACCACTACAACCCTGTCCATATCCATTGGTACACTTTCATTTAACTCATCAACTTTGTTTACAAAGAACTGATTTAGTGAACCAATATTGAGGACAATAAGGCTCACAAGCTGCACTCCATGGATATACAAGGCCACAAACTCAAAATGAGAAGATGCATTTTCATCTACAGATCCAACAAAATTACTGTATCTAGGTTGGAGGTGAAGGAGCAGAGAGCACGAGAGAGCAATACAAAGGAATATAGAATCCAGTGAAGGAGCAGATCCAGTGCAGTTACCTTAGATCCAGATGGAGCAGGGATGATGTGCTAAAGATTTGTGCGTCGGCGAGGTTGGAGGTGAAGGAGCAGTGAGCACGCGAGAGGCTGTGTTTCGTCCAATGCTAGCAGGGTGAAGCAGAGCAAGGGAGCAAAGTGGGGAATGGATGTGAGGAAGGTGTGGTAGGACCGTAGGAGTGTATATACAATTTAATAAATTGGTCGCCCCTGTACTAGGGTCCAGTGTCCAGAGAAGTAGGATGCCTCCAACATATCAATTGATACTTGAATCTAATATCATTTATAGTTCAATAAATTGAACACCTGGTTAATCACCTTGTATTTAGTTCAACAATAGTTATACAATAGTGATAGATTTCAGTCCGACACATCAATTGATACTTGGATGTACTAGCATTTATATTTCAATAAATTGAACACCTAGATAATCACCTTGCATTTAGTTTAACAATAGTTGTACAAAAGTGACAGATTTTAGTCCAATACATCATAAATTGATACTTGAATCTACTACGGTGAACTAAACAACTTGCCAATGAACATGCCAAGAACTAAGGTAAGTACAAAATAGGTGAAAGAAGAACATGAAACACATTTATTTCTCAAAGGTATGAAATCTTCCATCATCTTCGTTGGAACCCTGTCCATTTCTTCAATTTGTGGCATAATCTCTTCCTCCTCTTGCAGATGTTCTTCATTTGTTGTAATATTGGCCTCTCGACTTCAGCTCCCAAATATTGTTACGTAAATCCAAAATCAAAGTCCTCAAAAATTTTCTATATTGGGGATCGTGCCACTTAAAGAACCCGCAATCTAAGTCGGGCTACGAAAAAAACAAATTACCATAAGTACAGTGGGATTTCAGCATTTGCATTGCGAAAACATAATGAATAAGAAAGAAATCGAGTTACAGTATTTGCCCTACAACATCTGTGGTATCGACATCCTGGGTTTCCATCACTTCACGAAATCCACCGAGGCATCTTGAAGACGCAGCGACACAAGAGTGGTGGCTGGTATGCGTAGGGGTGGTTCTCGACACGACACGAGATGGGCGGCCCCTCCCGTTGTAGCCTCCTCCGCTGGAAACCGGTGTTCTTCTCGTGACGGTGCCCTAGGATGGTGCCGACCACTAGGAGGAGTTGGAGCTAGATGCAGCCATGGAGCAGTCAGGGTTCAAAGTGTTGCATACTCTGAGCGAAGAGGTCGGCCTAGGTCTTTTGTCTACGCTTTTGCCTCCCACCAAGGCGCCAAAACGTGTTTCAAAACCCTCGGACTCCCACCAAGATGAATTGTTGTGTCATCACCGGTTCAGGGTACTATCCTCCTGTAGAAGAAGGCCTGTTTTGGATCATCTATGCTTACATAGAGGTGTACACATGGACCACAATCAAGACCAACTGATTCAATTAACAGTTCAACCGAAGTAATAGTTCAACAATTATGCAGTACTCATAGATACTAATCCAGAAGTTTCATCAGTACATATAAACTTCATTAACATAAAAGTTTCATAAATTCTAAGACTTAATATCGAATGGGTAGGCAGTTGCTAAGGTACTCAATTGGTTGATGCGGTCCCGAAAGCCCGAGGTAGTGAACCGTAGCGAAGATGATAGCATCTCCTCCACGGACACATTGTATATATAAAGTATGTCTACTTCCTGTCCAGTCCTGCAAAGCACAAAAATCTCTCCACAAATAGGGTCTTGAACGATTCTTGTCAAATTGTGTGGTCTGAGGAGGTGACGAATAGCGACTTCAGCAATCAACAGTCTGTCCGGGTGAATGCTCCGTCCCCAAGTAGCAAACAACATCATCTGGGGTCCTGGTGCCACCCCTAGCCGCCAAAAGGCAAGGTTGCTCGCATTATAATGGCTTCTTCCGAAGTAAGACATCTGTTGCAATGAAAAAATTCCTAATATGAACAAAACTGATACCGAACCTAAAACCAATTGGAGCCACATGCAAACAGCGGGGGAGGGGGGGGGGTTTGACCAAATCCATCTAACCTTTATGGGGCGTTGTCCACGACGATAATGCAAGGTGCTCGATGCAGGGTAAGCAAAGGCGGGTGGGGAGAATGAAGATGAAGCAACTGGTGGGGAGAATGAAGATGACGCAACGGGTGGGGAGAACTAATGGCTTCGTATTAAGATTTTTAGTGGTTCCAACAGCCGCCAATGCGCCCATAGGGCCGATGGGAGTTGGGGAATGGACCGGGCAGTTCTAGTTTTTTTTTCCAAACGGACGGTCTAGATTGATCGGCAGCGAGAACGGACGGCACGGGATAAGGTAAATAGTATCCGTATTAAGCCGACCGTTGCCACGCTAATCCAACACTATAATACGACGATTGTCAGCAGTTGAACTACTATTAGATTCTCTGGAACCGGAGCCGTACATGACAGTTTTTACTTTTCATTCATATATATATATATAGAAAAAGAAAAAAAAACATTCGTCATGTAGCAATATCTCCTGGAATATAGCAAGGACCAAAGATAGATAGCAAGAACAGCAGCAGGAAACATAATTTTCAAAGAACTTTTTTTATTGATTCATTGCATATACAGATAAATACAATTTGGACGAGTATACGATTGAACTCGTCCAGAAACATAATAACTCACCTAAACTATTAAAACTACTTATACTAACTATAAACTACTTAATCTAAATATGTGCTCGCCTCGCTCACTTAGGAGGAGGCGAGTCAAAGTCGGAGTCGTCGTCATCGTCGTCATCGGCGCCGGCGTCCTCGTCGTCATCGGCGCCGGCGTCCTCGTCCTCGTCCTCCTCCTCGTCCTCGTCCTCGTCCTCCTCCTTCGGGTCCTCCTTCTCGGAGCCCCACGGAGGACTATAATCAGAAGGCATCTAGTCGTCAGAGGAGACGTCCTCCTTAGAGGACTGGTGGGCTGGCAAGTCAGCCTCGCTGGACGACGGGCTGCTTGGAATCTTTCGATATTTTCTTTGTAGATTGAAAGAGAAGGGGATGATGGATGAAGAAGAGGGGTTGGTTTCAGAGGGCACCGAGCTTGAAGAATATGTAGAGCAGTGGGTATGGCTCTTTGGCTTCACGGCGGCGAAAGTAATGGTGATTTGACGGCCTTGGAAGTTGAGGGTATTCAACACTCACGCTGAATTTTTACCGCTGGTTGACCAAACGCTAGTTTTGGACCGCCGGCCAAAACGCGTATCCCAGTTGGCCCAGCTTTTCATGCGACGGAGGAAATGCAACTCTAATACCACTGTTGCATCTACTGTTAACCCGTCGGTGGTAGTAGTTTCAACTGCCGGTTTCCTTCCTTATAAGCCTCACTATCGGTTAACCGACGGTGGAGGTATCACACCGTCGCTTTTATCGCTACGGCAGTGAAAGTGACGATAATAATAAGTCAATATGTAGTAGTGTGAGGATTAAGGCGGTAGTGGGGCCAGCCCGCGGCCAGCCACAGGCCGTGGGCGATGGTGTGGGGAGGAGGTGCAGGTCACGTGGCGCTGATGTGGAAGAGGCCCTCACGATTCCTTAGAGAGAAGTCCGACGCGGTGGAGGTGGATCGACGCGTCCGCGCGGGGATTGAGCCGGGGGCATGGCGAGTCATTTGGCGGCGTGCGCGGTCCTACGCAACTGGCACGAGCAGCGCTTGAATCCGAGCGGACGAGACGGGCGCTAGCCTCAGCGTGCATCCATTACCTATCTCCGTGGTCGCAGTCGCACAACTGCACAAGTCCACCATTTTAATGCCCGAGCTACTCGTCAACGTGTCCCATGGGCGCACCATAAGAATATAACTTTCTATTTCTATCTATATGCTACTACAGTATGTAAGTACCTGTAGCCCTGTAGGCGATAACGCCATGCCACTGGCTCTGATTGGAACCCCAGAGTGGGCGCAATAATGGACGTGCAGCTGCACCGCCTCCTGCCTCTCCTCTCTCCTCCTCTCATGGCCTTTCTTCCGCCGCGGCGACCACTCGGCTGCGCGAGATGCGGCGGACCTCCACCCCATTGTGATTCTACCGGGCCACAGCTGCAGCCAGCTCGACGCGCGGCTCACGGAGGAGTACGAGCCGGCAGCGGCGCCGAGCTGCGACGCGCGCAAGGGGAAGGGGTGGTTCCGGCTGTGGGAGAACCGCACGGCGCTGCAGGACCCTGCACTGCTGCCGTGCTACGCGGAGCAGCTGCGGCTCGTGTATGACCCTGTCGCCGGCGACTACCGCAACGTGAGGGGCGTCGATGTCAGAGTCGTGTCATGTGGCACCACGCGCGGCTTCATCCCCCGCTGTCCTTCTTACCGGAAGTAAGTTACAGTGTGCGTGAGTGCATCGTTTGTTTTTTCTTCTTTTCGGAAAATCCGTGATGGAGGCACTGGAAGGAGTCGGATACAGAGACGGCGGAAACCTGTTCGGCGCCCCATACGACTTCAGATACGGGCCGGCGCCGCCCGGGCAGCCCGCCCAGCACTTCGCCCACTTCGTCTCGTCCCTGCGGTGCTCGTAGAGCGTGCCAGCGTGAGGAGTGGGAACAAGCCGGTCATCCTGGTGTCGCACAGCCAGGGCGGCATAAACGCCATGGCATTCCTCGCCCAGAGCCCCCTGCCGTGGCGGCGGAGGTACGTCAAGCACTTCGTCATGGTCTCTACCGGCGCAGGAGGCATCGTGACCGCGCTAAGGGCCCTCGCCTCCTCCCTCAGCCATCCTCCGCCTCCCGGCTGTTGGAGTTGTTCCAAATTCACTCCATGATATAGGCCAGGCTTCTGACGGAGCGAAGCGGAGGCCCGTCGCCGGAGGCTTGGGCCGGAGCGTGCGGAGTCTCAAGCCGCCCATCAGCCCATCTCGGTGTGCTCTTGGGTGCGGGGTGGAGCCCGCATGCACGGTACGGTATATACACCCTTGCTAGGGTTTCGTGGAGACTTAAGATTCTCTTGTAAGCCGTCATAGGCGTGTAACCCAAAACTCTTGAGATAGTGAGATTGTTGCTGGCTGGTGCCCGTGGTTTTAACCCCTTCACATCAAAGGATTTTCCACGTTAAATCGTGTCTCTCAAATATGAAGAAATCAAAATCATTACGAGGCAACAAAATATCAACACCGGCGACGTGCTATCGTTGTTCGGGAACACGGGCAGGAGCTTCGAGAGCACATTCCTCACCCTACCGTCTCCCAAGGTGTTCGGCCACACGCCCCTGGTGATCACGCGGGCGAGGAACTACTCGGCGTATGACATCCCGGAGCTTCTGGCGGCGACCGGATTCTCCGACGACGAGGTGGCGCGCGTGCTCAACTTCAGTGCACCCATCGTGCCCGTCACGTGCATCAACGGCGTCGGCGTGCCGACGCCGGAGCTCGTGTACTGGGACGACGTCAACGCGGAGCCCAGAGTTGTGTACGGCGATGGCGACGGCAACGTCAATCTGGCTAGCGTGCTGGCGTTGGACACGGTGATTGGGAAGTACCTGGGTCAGGATTACTACAAGTCCGTCTTGATCCCCAACGCGACGCACACCGGGATCTTGGCGGATGATTTCGCTCGCCAGCGCGTCGTCAGCGAGATTCTTCAAGCAAATACCGCTGTTTATTAAGGTGCAGGTGCAGCCCAGCAGCTTTATCTGGTTCCAAATTTGTGTGCCAAATGTTGTGCTCGCCGCCTATTATATTGGGACTTAGATTCTACATTTCTACTTGAGGATGGTATTCACACACACACGCACCATCTAGCTATGTGCAATCATACTTATATGCCTAATTTGGAAAGGCGGAGGAAGCAAACCCATGAGAGAAAAACACCATATATGTTTTTTTAGAGAGCACGTCCGGATGGACGGACGTGCACAACATTATCGAATTGATGCGTGCTGTGAGGTAGCCTATCCAGGTAGGGGTATTTTACACGAAACCGGTTCATCTTACGTTGTGTTTTTTTTTACAGGTACTCAAATATATTCTCAATAGAAGTAGAGTACAAACTTTTGGGAGTTCATGTCCCAAAGACTAACATGTAGCTCTAACGCTACGACTAGAGAGCCAACTCAGAGGCCCCGTAGAAATGAGCTCGCCTACAATAGCAAACATTGATCTTGCTCGGAGAAAACTACAGTTCAGCTGATACAAAAACAGGTTATGTCTCCACCGGGAGGCGCTAGGCCTCAGGAGAGAAGTGGCCACAATAAAGACATCCAGATCCTCATTCTCGCACTTCAATAGTACAATCGGTGCTCCCCTCGACTGTCTGACCAACCTGTGTCTTCGAGGATTTGGTATCTTGAGTCTTAGATATTAAAGGAGCTTCACCGGACTCCAGAAAATAATGTCACGTCTGCCAATGTTGAATCTGAGGACCAGCGATGTCCACGAAGAGAACCAACTGCCTGGGCACGTGGAAGGGCCAATGCCAACTTGTTACAAAGATTAGTAGCATGTCTGGCACGTGGCTGTAGTGGGCTCCAGGGAAGAGAGGTTGGGAGGTGTCCACGATAGCACAGGGCACGCCACCATGGACGCAGGGCGCTCCACGCAGAGCAGCCCCCTCGCGCGGCTCCCCAGGAGGACCTCGCCAGCACTGAACATGCCCTTGCCCGAAAGCTACAGCTGTGTCGTGGACACGTTGAACGTCATCGACAGCTGGAAGAGGGATAGGAGTGATCCCGGGCGAACGTCGTAGAAGGGGATGAGCACCCGCTGGACGAGGTTGGCCGGGCAAAGCTTCTCTACGAGGCTACCGTCCCGCGATAGCTACAGCGTCAGCACGTCCGAGCATGCCACCTCCGTCTCGCCCTCCGACTGCACCACATGAGCATCGACCAGCATAAAAGCGGCAAAGGTGAAGCGCCTGAGAGCATGTAAGAATGACTCCATGCCGCCCCTACATCCACCAATTACGCAAGGAAAAGCAAGGTTGGAAGAAGAGGGCTTTATTATTTTCATACTTATCTCGTTGCTCCGATGGAGACCACCGCCGGTCACCATGACGGCAGGAGGACCAGCTGCCACCGACAGGACGAAGATAAGGAGGAACTCCATCCTCGACACACCACTCATACCAGGCAAACTTATTTAAGAAACAAACCTAAGGAATTGAACCTATACAAGAGAGGGGGTCCGGCCCGCCTTCCTCAAGCCGCCGACGAGTTCGTCGGACAAGCCAGGGAAGGGGGGCAGAAGATGGTGGGAACTGGGAGACTCTATTGTGTGGGCGTAGGTTTCGAGCTATGTGCATTGGGATCCTCTTAAGCTGTGTTCAGAGGGACGTCCTTCGCTGCGACGCGTCGACCAGCCGCCGGGAATTCAGGATGTAGGACTAAGCGCGTGAGATGCTATGGGATAACTAAATTTTTTTTATTAAAAACATATGAATCACACTATAAGATAATAATACTATTAAATTAAATACCGACGTCAAAGTGATATTTAATTCAAAAAGCAAAGTTCGTGAAATTAAAACAGGTGATGGAGACCGGGAGGCGCCAGGCCTCAGGCTCATAAGTGGCCACTGTATAGATTTTTCCGTACTTCAATAGTATAAGATAATATTTTATATCGGCAGAAAGAATTCTACGATATCCATTTCTTTCATGCGCCAATAAATCCATGAATAAGTTTCACTGCATCTCCATATAATTATGTACACACAGGTTCGAGTATATGTAAATATGTTTGTGCCCGTACGTTGCTACGGGATAGCTAAACTTTTATATTAAAAACACACGGATCGCACGATAAGATAACAATACTATAAAAGTATATGATTAACGTTAAAGTGACATTTAATCCAAAAAGCTAAGTTCGTGAAATTTACACTTTTATCGAGAGATATTTAATGCTTGACTCACAAACTCTACTATGTAGATCTTTCCGTGATGCGGCTAAGATCATTTTTCCATTTCTTTCGTGCGCCAATAAATCCACGAATAAGTTCCACCACATCTCCATACCATCTTGTACACGGTGTTGGCAAGCGAATTAGCCACAACTTATGTAATTAGTTTTATAATTAGCTCATGTTTAGTCCTCCTAATTGATATCTAAAAAGGTGTCCACGATAGGACAAAGTTTAGTCATGGAATCCAAACACTCCCTAAGCTCGACTCCTCGCGGTTGCTCACTTGCACCACTATGCCAGCACTGCACGCATATACTCTAATGCCGAAACGTCTAAGATGGTCTTTAAGATTGTCATTTGAACGTCATCGACAGATTATGATGCTTTGGAGTGATCCATGCGGGTGTCCATGAGAGTCAAAAATTTTATGCCATTATGATGTCTAAACTTACCAATCGGTGAGGGCAATTTGATTGTTAAAATATTTTCAACCGCGATAGCTACAGCCCCTCACGTCCCAAAATAGAATTCATTCTCGCCCGAGAAGTAAACACCACATGAGCATCGACCAATTATAATACTTGTATTTTTTACATGCATGTGGCCTGAGAGTCAACCAATTGATTGTTAAATGTTGCCGTATTTTTTTCAAACCTAGTCAAAGGAAAGAAAGTTTGAAGAGGGCACATATCCCATAACGACTTATCTCGTTGGGCGATGAAAGTATATGCTACCGGGAGTAGTCAACTAGAAGGCAGGATGACCGGCAATACACCGACATTATATGCTAAGGAGAGAACGAAAAAACATCGGGAATGGACTATATATGAATGGTGGGAATATTCATTTAGGAAATTGCAAAAGGTTCATTGAACCTCACCAGAGATATAACCCGCACATCTTTTATTTGCCGCCGTCGATGTTCTTAAGGAGCAAGCTTTTTAATTTCAGAAGATCTACATGGGAAACACTAAAATTGTGTGCCAACCTCATTGAGGTTCTTGCTTGATCTTGCGATTGTTTCCTTCCATTCATGATTATTGAGGGACTTCCATGCATGTGGCCTCGTGATCGATTTGCCTTCAAAAATTCAGGATCGTAGGGATTTAGTTTATTTTTCTGGTTGGGTGAATTTGTGAATTTGGGAAAGGGAGAGTCTTACTTTTTATTTGATAATTGTTTCCTTCCATGCATGATTATTGTTTCCTTCCATGCATGTGGCCTCGTGATCGATTTGTTTCCTTCAAAACGTGAGAGGATTATGGATGGCGCTTTTTTTTATCTATATTTATCATAAGGCGGAAGGAGAAGCGACCCAAAAAAAATCACACCAAAAATTAGTCTTTCATTTAGTATTTTTAGTTGTAGGAGATTTAGACGGCACATGTTTAACGAATACCATTAAAGTCAGTCCGTCAGCCCATTCACGTGTGGTTCAGCCCACCAATGAGCCCACTCTGAACTCCCATCATTTTTTATGATAGAGATTGGTTTAGAAAATATATAATAATGAAAAGTATTGGATATAAATTATTGGTGAGCTACTAGAGACGCTCTATGCACCCTACCAACCCATCCCCATCCCCCGTGCCGCCGCTACCTGCCCCTTGCCGATCCACGACCCAAACAAAAAACCGTCTTAGGCGCCCTAGATCTGTGCTCCCCTCAACCTGATCTGCCAACCCATGGAGTTTCTATGGCCTTGTTAAGTAATCTGCTACTCCCCTTGTGTGAACGCACGGCAGGGACAGGCGGCGTTGAAAAGGGCTCTCGCTGTTGTTATCAGTATGGCAATTGCAGAGGTGAGCATGAATGGCTCTCTCCGCCGATCAGTAGCCTAGCAGGGGCAGATGCCAAAGTCAGCCCTGCTATCACATCTAGTCACTATAACAGCATGGCAGCCTGACATGCCTGTGTACTAGGATTAGATGGGTAGAGTTGTATATATAGTTTGTCACTGCACCTCAGTAAAGAGCAAGTTTAGTTTTACCATCTCCTCTGTAGAGCTCCGGCCAATGCTAGTGCTTGCGCTGTGTGTGTGCTCTGTTCTTTCCCCCTTCTTCTACCTCTAGCCATAGTGTGTGGTCGACAATGATAGTGCGTGGTCGGCAACGGTGGTGAGTGGTCGACTCACCCGTGCCGGAGATCTAGGGCTAACAAGTGGTATTGGAGCCGTACAAGCGCCGTTGCTGGACTAACCGCTGGCGATGACGGATGGTTTAGAGATGGGCGACAGCAGCGGCGCTGCTATGGCTGCCCAACCACGATAGGAGGTCATTGTGCACATGGTGCGGGAGGTTAGCGGCAACTATGGAGGCTATCCTGACCATGTTGTGTCAAGCTCGAGCAAGACAAGGAAGTCGTTGACAAGGGGGCGATAACAAAGAAGCTGCGACATGAGGCATGTGAGGCCATTGCGACGATGTGCATCGGAGTTGTGGAGCGTTAGCAAAGAAGGCTAAGGTGGCGTGGGAGGCCATTACTTAATGCGATCGGTTCCGCCAAAGAACCTCAAGTTCAAGGATAGTGAATCGGTGGAGGACTTCTCTCTCCGTCTACAGACGCTCATCAGCAAGCTGAGGAGCCACGATGTCACCATCGATGAAGAAGAGGCGGTCTCCAAGTGCCTTCACTCCGTGCTAATAAAGTACATCCATATTGCTCTTTCCATAGAGACAATGCTGGACTTGTCCATCCTCACCATTGAGGATGTGACAGGCCATCTGCGGGCAATGGACGAGTGCATGAAGCAGGCCACAACAA